CAGTCACCACTAGCTTCAAAGACGCCTACAGGTGTGGTGCGTACAGCCTTCAAGTTCTGGTGACGACCCGACAATCATGGAGGGAGAACTCTGTGGTGATGTGGTGAGAGGTCTGTCTTTTGGTCGAAATCCGGGGGGGGGGGGTATGCCGTCCAAAAAAATCCGTTGGGCCAACTATGGGGAGCCATAAGAGTCAGCCTAACAGCCGAAGGCCTGAGAAATAGTGTTAACCACACTTGCACACCCTGAAAAACTAAAAAGTTGGTTGATTTGAGCCCCCAAAAAGAAGATCCTGCTAGCGCGTGTAAACCAAGAAAAAATATGATGTGTTTACACAAGGTACTGCTGTAACCTGCAGGAAAAAAAAGTAAACAGGTCTGTGGAGAGGTCGTAGTCCCACGGCAACCTTGGCACAGGAATCTGAGTGTGTGTCTTTATGTTGCGCAACGCATGGGGGATATGAACGATTTTAGATCACCAGTACAAGCGAGAGATTTACCAGGCTAGCTATTGTAGCCCGCCTCGCGGAATGACTGGTGGTTCGGGCGGGATACCCCTGGATTTTGATTCGTTTTTCCGCACAAACTCTCGAGTGACGGCCATTTTTCCTATTGGGAGGAACACGTGTTTAGACTATAGAACGACGCCCGAGTTCATTTTGTATGTGAGACCTTGTCGATACACTTCGGACGGCCCGCACCACTGGCTCTCTCTCTCTCTCTCTCTCTCTCTCTCTCTCTCTCTCTCCCTGTCGTCCTACCCCTCTCCTCCCATCTCTCACCAGCACTGGAACACATCGTTCTTGTCGGTGTAGTACTGCTGTACGTGTAAGTCACGGATTCAAAACTGCTGTGTACAAGGCAGTGAACAAGCAAGTACGACATGTAGTGCGCTGAAGCTCCACAGTACATCAACAACAGCAGCTGCTGTTCTCTGGTTGTGTCAACATCGCATTACAGGCAGTAGATTTCACTCTCGCACAGCAATATGGGTGGCTTTAGCATTTTTGTGACCACGGGCCGAGTCTTTGCTAGATTTTGGGATTAGCAACTGACACGAGTGAGTTTAATGTGAAGAAAAACAAACAAAAAAACAACAAACAAATGGTGTGCTGCTCTTTCGTGTGGTCCAAGTATTTATCGTGAAAGAGGAGTGTGGGGTCAGGTGGAAACGGTGTACTGCTGTACATACATGTGTACCTCCAGGGAGGGGCAGACTGAAGTCTCTACAGACTACGCGGTCATTTGTTACACAAACATTTCATGCGTAAACCACAGCAGTATGTCTTACGGCCAGCGGCTTTGCAACAGAGCGACTGCTGTGGAATAGAGGCAAGCGCAGAGGGGTTGATACCTGACAAATGATCAGCGACAACCCCAGAAGGCCGCAACAGCACGAATTACTGCCTGTAGGAACAACCGATCTGTGCGCCAGTATACGGATGCAACACTTTTCCCCCCCACGCCGCACACCTGATCCCTTGCTTCCATATCTCCAGAGATGCAGACAGACGCAACAGCCGACCGTTCTCCGTGTGGACCATGTCGCCGATCATCTCCACCTATCCTCTCCCTTCCGGCCATCGTGTCCTGTGAGCACGCTTATTGTAGACGTTCCCCGAGACCATACCCGTGCCCTCCAAACTCTCCGCTCTTGTCTGCTGCCCGGATTACTTACTTGCTGTCCCCGTTCTTTCAGGCCCCGCTGCTGATGCTAAGACAGGTGAACCCTTGACGACCTGTAGAGCCGAAACCTCACGGCGGACAGAGGGGTGGTGGTCAGCACACACAGCGGTGTTGGGGCCAGTTGGGGCAGCCTCTTTAACCACTTTGCGGCTCTGTCTTCCCGACTGGGAATCAGCGAATCAGCAACCAGCAAACTTTATTTCTGTTCTTTTGTTTCGCCGCCTGTGGGCGAATGGACCGACCGGTCAATGACCAGAGGAGAGAAAGCTACAGCAGTATGGTTTTCCTCCACTCACTGAAAAGACTCCACCACATCCCGTTCGACTATGGGTATATCTCGAATGGGTAGTCTTTTTGTGTGTGTATTTATTTAGGAAGAACAGAGAGGGGGCACCCGGGGCGAGAAGGGTTGGTACGCGAGACTTCATGATTTTGCTATTGCTATTTTATTGACTGCGGTGTGTGTGGTTGTTGGTCGTTCATGAACTCTGTGTTCCTGGTTCCTACACAACGGTTCCCCAAGATGAGCGCACCAACGCGCACGACAGCAGCAGTGCACCGGCTACGCTTCTACCTGTATGCAGAGTTACGAACGTGTTGACGTTCCTGAGGTCTACAGCAGTACAGGTAGATGGATTCAATCGATCGATATGGAGACTTCGATGTGTACGTACATACTTTTTTTTTAGATATTTTGATATTTTAGAGAAGAAAGTATTCAACACAGCAGTATACATACGTCCTGGTTTACCGCGTGTCGGGTTGCCGGGATAGGGATGTCCTGGTTGCTGGTTTATTTAGCGGGTTAGTTGATTCCTGGTTTACCGTTGGGGTGGTGTGTGAAATGGTCGTTGTAGGCACATTCTGCGCAGGAGTCATCTGTTGAACACTGTGGACATGTTTTCCAACACTTACTTGCTGTGCGCATTCCGGAACGATCTCCTGCGGCTAGATCATTGGCAAGCGATCGCGGGTTCACCTGCTGGACTGGATATATATCCATGCTGCTGGTGGGAAGCTGCCGACAGGATCATGTTGAGGATCCAAGTCAGAGGATCCTTCCCGGTGACGGCTGCTTTCTTGACCTGTTCGACCAGGATGGGCTCGGTGGAGGGCTGCCCACTTGCCAGAGGAGCGAAGAGCTCGGCTGACCGGTGGCGTCGGCGTGTTACCGCAGGACATGCTGCGCAAGGCTGGTGTCTGTCGCTGTCGTTTGCCACCGTCGTCGTGTCCGTTTTGTTGTCGCCGCCGTCACCGCCGACGCGTCCGTCGCCGTCGCCGGCGCGGGCGTTGTCGTCGGTGGGATCAGCGCCGCGGTCGTCGTTGTCGTCACCCGGCACATGGAACGGGGTGTTAAGGAATAATAAAAAACACACACAGCAGTGTTGTTACTGCTGCTGCTGCTGCTGCCCTGCGAGGCCGCTATACGCTCGCTGCAGCGCCGGCGGCGCCACCAGCTTGGCCCGCTTTTGGCTGTCCCGTTTTGGACTTGGCCGCGGGTTTAGCGGTGGTCGCAACAGCGTCGATCGGGGGGCGGCTGGTTCTTCTGCGTCGATCGCGCTTTTTCCTTCTTTCGTTTCTTTTGCCCTCCTCCCATCGTGGTTCGTGTGGGTTGCACAGGTTAAAAGAAAACGCTTCGTCGAACGCCAATCTGGAGCCCCCTACTCTGCGGGTGAGCGGAGAGTCTGGTGTGTGTGTGGTGGCTATTACCTGCCACCGGAGGCTGGCTGATTCCTTTGGTGTCATGTGGCGAGGAATGCCAAGCGCGACCGAGCGACATCAGTCAAGCTAGGGCGGTGCGGAGAGTGGCCAAGCCTTCGTGGACTAATTTTCCCATCCTCCTACATAAATATTCATCGCCCATTCGCAGCTGTTGGGAATCGGAAGAGTCATGAGCCCTTTGGAAGAACAATGATCTGATCACACATTCCCGGATCCTACTCTTTACGTACGTGTGTCTGTGCTTCCTGAATGTCCATGTGTCCTGACCGACCACATCTATCTCTTCTTGGACACTATGTATACACACACGTAGAGAACCTGCAGAGCCAGCCCCAGGTATAACCATTAGTAGCTGTTGATTTCCATATTCTGCCGTCACCCGCGAAATTGGTCTTGCAACGCCACTGCTACTAGACCATGTATCCACTGCTACTTATGTGTACGTAACCAACTTTTCGTGGTACAAAAATCAGCGGATGGTCTACAGCCAGAAACCATTAAGGGCCGACTTTCGAACATGGCATCGAAGGAGCGTGCAGTACAGCAGCATGTAAGGTATCCCTTGGTCCCACCCAGCATATTTTGCTTTCTCCGAAAGCGACACCTGTTGTAGAGTTCGTTGTCTTCACATGAAAACCGTTCCGTTCTCTGTTCAGCACCGTTAAACATCCGTACCGGTCCAACTGACGCTTCCGTGGTTATAGGCAAAAACTACCCAAAAAGTATACGCATGTTATCGATGTGGTTGTGTACAAAAGTGCTGCTGCGCTTCCCCCCCCCCCCCGTAATTGGAAACCTAAATAACCCCAACCGTCACTTCTTGAAATAACGTGTCCATCGAAATTCCTAGCCCTGCCAGGCATGGTTTTCCGTTGTCTGGAGGTTGCCTCGCCTGAGCACGTGGAGGCCATCACGCGGACGGGAGAGGGTAGACCCGCTGTGTTGACGGACTGACTTGTGTATACTATCCGAAACAAAGAAGGTACCACCAAGAACTATCACGCTAACTCCTGTTGTCCTACGACAATTGCTTCCAGATGCGTGTCCTGCATGACCCAATGCATACAGCGGTGGTCTCCACCATATTTTACTCCTCTCTCCCGAAACGAGACGTGTCTCCGTCAAAAGCTACCGCGGCAGTCTTAACTCTGCAGGAAACGGGCAGGATATGTCTCTTGATGTTCAGTGCGTCATATTGCCAGCGTTTCGGAGAAACAGCACGAAAAATCACACACCTTACTAATGTACCGGGGAGTCTAGTGCTGCGGTATGTGACTGCACCGGTGGCCTGATGTGCCGGTGTCCAAGCACACCTATATTCCGGCAATACGCATTGAAATATGAAGCGCCTCCATACAAACTCCACACACAACATTCCCCACCATGAAAGGTCATAAACGCCGAGCCCACACAACGCAAAGTATGACGAGGGAACACAAATCAATCAAAGTACCCGTCGAGGTTTAACCGAGTGTCATGAAACCGCTTCACCCAGAGCCCTCAAATCTCGGATCATGGACTCGGCCGATGCGATATCCCGGGCTACTTCTGCTTCGCTGTCTCTGAGCTTCGCCGCGGCACTCGCCAGGCTTGAACGTTTCACATCCGCGAATGAAATCGCCTCCGGGAGTGTGAACTCCACGTGGAATCCGAGAGCCACCTTCACGAAAACTTTTGACGGGTCTTGCACCTGGCGTTGGGTGGGTTTGCGATTGAAGCGATGGAGTACCGCAAGCAGCGAGCGTTTGGGGCAACGATCGAAAATAGGCTGAAACGCAGCGAAGGGTGGTGTGCGAAAAGAGAGCTTTGCATATATACGGCTCGCTGCTTGTGAACAAAAATACCTGGAATATTTCTTCTCTGTGCCGGTCCTACTCCCATGCTTACAGAGCTTGGTGGTCAAGTGGCCACGAACGCGGAGGACGTACGTTGAGAGATTCTAGATATCCGATGTAGATAGACAACAAGCCCGTGATACGAGAAGCCCAGCGCAGCAAAGGAGAGGCTGAAGAAGGCCGCCCAAAATAGGCTCAGAACGACGCTATGCGATTGGGTGGGGCCTTGAAGCAGTGGCAACTGACTCTCGCTCGCAAGGTGAAGTGGGGAGGACAAACATGTCGCGGGCAATGAGCACCTTGTTCCTACTGATAATACTTCATCAGGAGACCCAAACAAGCCTCAGTATAAGACAAAGGGCTGTACATGGCTATCACGTAGTTGGAGCTTCTCAACACACCACATGCGCTGGAGGGGACGACCAGTGGCGAGCTTTCGCACAGCGCCTCCCTATACTACACCACACACAATCATGCACGAGAAACAGATTGCAAAAGGTGGGATTCATCGCAAACCTCCTAGACCGAATTCCACGACTCGACTCGATTTCTCCAAGACAAATGGGTTGCCAATGCCGAAAGGGCGGTTTTGGAAAGATCTAAACAGTCGAGAGCTTTCTTTGCGAGTATCAATGAGTTTTTCGCACCACGCAGACTGTGGGGCAACCAAACCTCGCGTGATGTCATGTGAAAGCAGTCTGCACGAACACGACTTTTCTACATGTCACTCATCGGCAAAGAGAATGCCCGTGGTATTTCCCTTGCCCATCGCTGAGGTGGGTGGACTTGCGGCAGTGACGCCTGTTCAGTAGGACTTCCTAAACAAATTTCCTTATCCGACCTGAGGTTCTGCTCGCTTCCCGACAACCTACCTTAACCTTGGCGAAACAATCGGCGCCTAGGTCGGTGAGCATCTCCAGCGGTCCATCTTCTTCCCTCACCATGATGCCCGACAGCTTCTCCTTTAGCTCGGCGTACTGGCCCATCTCGTGCTCGACCTTGGCTACCCTGGTGGATACACGGTAGTCAATGATGTTTTCGGCACAAGCTCGACATCTTGCTCTCGAATACTCCGAGTAAATTGTATGTCCCCGTTCATGCACAACAAACTTTGATCCTGCCGCCGCCAGCTTGGCCCGGAGATCCCCTTCAAACAGGGGTACAATCTCCCCAACTTTTGTCGAGGCCGATCCTCTCTTTTCACATTTCGGTGACTACGAATCAGCCGGGGTCACACAGAAGGAAGGTCACACAGGAGTTTGAGGTGTTGTTGTTGTCGTCGTCTTCACATTCAAAACCGTTGCAAATTTGAACATCCTACCTCTCCTGCTGTGACACCTGATTGCCTTGGTTTTTGTCGCGAAAAGGGTTCAGCCGTCCCTTTCCCTCTCGCCCGTGAAGTCCAAGAGTATAAATGGCAACGTCTGCACTCCGAGCCGGATACGGCTGTAGCTACAGCAGTAGCTAGGCACACCATCTCTGCTCATTCCTGCTTGTTTCATCAGCACTATGATTGTAGTATTCCTATATTCTGTGGAGACCTTCCTCATCCGAAAAATCTGTGCACTGGTGCTTGTCTATTCATAGTCAATCATTGAGGCCCTTCATCGCTACCACGACACCGGCTATACCACGCCTTTACCACATCATCTCCTTTCCTCGTGTCCTCAACTCGCTTCCCATTGTGGCCCCGCCCCCCCCATGTTACGCTGGAAGCCAGAAATGCTCGAGCAGTCTCGTCTTATGTTGTGCTTTTCCCTATACTCCTCATGGCCAAATCAATACGCTCTGTTTCATGCGAGGATAATGGCCCTAACTAATTTATTTAGCGTCCGCGTGAGTTGGAGCGGTACATAGATGGACGTTGCATTCCATCGCGCACTTCAGTAGGAAGTATCTGTTAGCAGAGACGCAGAGACCCAACACAACAACACGACGACAGCAAAGTACAAGTACATCAGTACAGGGACCTATCTATGTAGTGCGGGGGGGTGTCCTGAAATTTTACCGGAACTTTACGGGCACCGGCAGTGTTCAGAACACAGAATAACTGTAGGCAGTTCAGTGTGTGTGCGAGCCGAAAACACCGGCACTACATGGATGGGGCACCGGCACTATTCAACCGGCACGCAATGGGCCGGTCTGCTGTCTGTACATACATATGCATACGTTTCGCTTTTTATCCTCCTTGTTGCTGCGTCACCTTTCTCGAAAGTCCTCGAGCTTTGGCCCGAGAACAGATCTAACCCATTGCTCGTACTTGTCAGCTCGTTCGGCGGCGGCGTCATCCTCCGTTGACATGATTGATACGACAGAAGTCGCGCCTCCGTAAGCACTGCTGCTGTGATCGGTGAATAGCACCCCCGCCCGGTCAGCCGGTGACTCTGCCTCCCGCGTACAGCGCGAAGCAAAAGACAGATTTTCCGGCACCAATCCTGGCGAAGAGGTGCGGTGTGCAGCTGCGGGTAGAGAGAGAATCGTCACATCCACCCTACACCTGTCCTATGTGAACATGGACCCACACTTTCATCAGTACAAGCGATGCCAAAATACGTGCGGGCGGGAGTGTCACTTTCGTCCCCTTGTCGGAAAAAATCCAACAGGGTTCGCTGAAAAAAATATGGAAGGACCCTGAACTTCCGGTTGCGGCCACCGAGTTCCCCGTTTTTAATTTTTGCACAGACAGCCACTTTTGCCACCTAGCATCTCTCCAATCACCAGCACCTCTATCTCCATCCAAGAGCAGCAGCAGCAGCAGCAGCAGCAGCAGCAGCAGCAGGCAGCAGCAGTGGCGGCACAGACACTGCTGTCCTTCTACGCAAGGTGCTTTGGATCGAAGGTGCGACACATGGTGAGAAGATTCAATGTTTGAGTTTCCAAAAGCAGAGGATGGTTCTGTAGGCAGAAAGAAGGCTGCAGCACACGCATCCCAACTGCCAGGTGCCAGAAGTTGCTCGATCACTGCCGCGGGTGTAGTAGCTCCGGAACCTAACGCTGTGTTAGTTGTTGGAAGAGGAGGACGTGGTGTTTGGGCGGTGAGGTTGTCACGTGTTGCGTCTAATGTAGCAAGCACGGCGGATCTCGAACTCTGTCTCGTCTGTCTACAGCAGTAGACTATTCGTCTAATCTATTCTGGTGTAGAAACAGCAAGCGCGCTGCATGGCCGCTGCCCGCTAACCCAAGCTTCCCGACGCTCTCTGATGGATCAACCAATGCCTTGCCCGACACGACCCTTGGCCCATCGCAGCACCGAGCGACTACGTGACTACGTTACTCTCTCTAGCTATTTATAGCAGCAGGGTGGTGGACACCCTCTCGTCAGCCCAATAGAAACAAACGTCCACCTCGAGCGATACCACCATGCCGATGGAGCCCGACCTGTACCGCGCCCTCCGCGCGAGGGACATTCGGCGTGTCCGCGAGTGCCTTCGGGACTGGGGCAACGAGAGCAAGAGGGTCTGGTGGGGGCCAGGCGGTGCGGGGAGTGCGGCTCTCACCCCTCTACACGTGGCGAGCAAGGGCTCGAGCCAGGACATCCTGAGGGAGCTCCTCAAGCACCCCGAGATCGGCCGCAGCATCAACACCTTCACCGACAAAACGAATGTAGGGCACGCGCCGTTCGTTATTGTCAAATGGGATCGTCGATGATGAATGACACTGCTGTGCGATGTTTTGCCGGAGCCGAAAACAAATGGTGGTGCCCTTGTTGTCGTCGTTGCTGATGTATGTACATGTAGTGTTGTTGATCGTTTCGTATCTTACGGAGAATGTACCAACTACTGCTGTTCCACGTGGATGACATGTAGTCTCTTGTGTTCGCTTGTTGACCATGGGTAGAATATGGTATCACGTTCTGTGTCACGATCTCCTTCACCGCAGAGGCGGGGACGTACATAGCTTCTTCTAATACTCCTATCACGACTCCGAGTATGTACATGGTTGCTCTAAGCTTACGATCGTCTGCCTGGCCCTTCTCTACCCTCCAGGTCACCCCCCTACACGAAGCCGCGGGCTCCTCCTCCCCGGAAGTCATCCGCCTCCTCCTCGACGCGGGCGCCGACATATCCTCCCCGTCGGGCGACCTCTCCACCGCCTTCCACATCGCCTGCTCCCGCGGGAGGCTCGAGACGTGCGTCGAGCTCCTCCGGCGAGGGTCGTCGCTCGAGGGTCGCGACGGCGAGGGCATGACCCCTCTCCTTCGGGCGGCCGCCAACGGCCGCGCCGACGTGACGGAGTGGCTGCTGAGGGAGGGGGCCGACCCGGCCGCCGTCGACGCCAACAGCAACACCGCGCTCGCGCTGAGCTGCCGCGCCACGGGCCGGCTGGACGCCGCCAAAGCCCTGCTGGACGGCGGGGCAGACGTGTTGGTGGAGAACTCGGACGGTTGCAGCTGCGTCTCGCTCGCGGCGATCTCGGGGAGGACGGAGCTGCTGGACATGATGCTGGCGGCGATGGCGAGCTCGGGCCAGCGCTTCAGGGACGGCGGCGGGGACATGCTCTACGACGCCGTCGACCACGGGCTTGGCAAGGTAAGGTATTTGACTTGACATCTCTTTGAAGGTGGGGGTGAAGGGGGCTCGCAACTTGTGTGCCCTGCTGCCCTCTCTCTCAGCGTCGGAACAGCTCGTTGGTGTTCGGAACGAACGAATCAACGCGGGAGGAGCCATGCTCGTTTGACGCAACACCGCCGAGACCTTCGTCTTGCCGCCCATCACTGAACTATATCTGCAGCCACAACATGTGCAGTTAGATTAAGGCTAATCCAACTAACATGTAGTCTAGGAAGCCTTGTCTGACAACGTGATTTGTTCAAACCAACTCGGCCTTTCCAACGCCCCCCCCCCCCCCCGCTCCAAAACACAAGGTAGCCAAGCTCCTCACCAACGTCCGCGGCCGGGAGCTCGGCGTCAACATCAACCGCCCGAACCCGGACAAGACAGGGGACGACGCCGCTCCACGCGGCCTGCTTTCCGCGGGCAGCAGGTCATAGTGGCGCAGCTCCTGTCGAGGGGCGCGACCCCCCGACGTTGCCGACGAGAACGGACTTCGGCCGCTCCACGTGGCCTGCGCGTCCCCCCGACAGCGAGCCGATGGTCCGGTCCCTGCTCCAAGGGGAAGGCGGACGCGAACGTGAAGGACAACTTCGGCTGCTCCCCGATATACTGTGAGTCGACTTCTATGCATGGGTTCTGAAGAGGCCACCTTGACTTTTATGCGTGTGTGCGTTCATTTTTTTTATAAGTTTTAGCTGTGTCGCTGCTCGCTCTGCCTTTTGTCAAGCGCTCTTGGTGCCTTACTGCAGAATACGGAGCACCATAGCGTTGGTACCGGTGTATCCACCATGCCAGTACTACCCCAAGTGTTCGGGTCTTGGAGGAGCCTTCGGTACTAAACTACCCCTCACAACACGAGTGTGTTTAGTGCGAAAGGAGGATGGGGCTGGTACCACGCAGGGAAAACGATGATGCTCTTATCTGTTTTTTAATTTCGGCATGTTTCCTTACCCTAGTTGGCTCTCGTTCTTCCTTGATGTTGTTGTTGTTTTTTCTGTTCTTTTAATACCGTTCTTCTGCTTCTTTCCTGGATGGCGCGACAGACGGTTTCGTGAGAGGCAACGACGACATCGTCAAGTTCATGCTTTCGCACGGTGAGCTTTTGTTCTCTTCCGTAGTTTTTCAATGCACCCTTGGTTGATCGGGAGGGGGGGTAGACCCTCGGGTGTCGTGCATGCGGAGAGGAGGGGTCGGATGTGATGCCTCGTAATTTATCTCCTGGAACTCCTCCCTGCGGAGCATGGTTCGTTTAACATTTCTTGTCTTTTTGCCCGATGACACACGCCCCACGTGTGCCGCCCCCGTGCCCATCGTCCGTAGACGCGTCCTTCTTGCTACTCAAAGAGCGCATTTTTCTCACCCACTACCCCCTCCCCTATACTGCACGGCTCCTCTCTTCCCTTCGTTTCTTGCCAACCAACACCACCAGGCGCGAGCCTCTTCCGCATGGACTTCGACCAGGCCCTCCGCATCGCGTGCTTCTACGGGATGATCTTGGAGGTCGAGTCTCTCCTCTGGATGGAGGCCGACGCCTCCGCCGTGCTCTTCAACCACCGGGACCGCGGAACCGCCTTCCACCCCACAGTAAACCCGGCCGTTCGCGACGGAATCAACGAGCTCCTGTCGGACAGCGACAGCGGGGCCGACGACAACGAAAATGCCGACGGCGGGAGCAACCGCCGAAGCACCGGGGGCGGAGGAGGAGCCGCGGCGGCGGCGGCGCTGAGGGCCGCGAGAGAGGCTGCGGCGGCGTGGGGGGCAGGGGACGCCGGGTGCGCGTCCCCGTCTAAGACTATGGCCTCCTCGGCGTCCACGAGCACCGGGTGGACGAGCGGGGCGGAGTCCTCTTCGTGCAGAGATGGCGGCGGCGGGTACGGCGGGGGTTACCAGAGCAGCAGCGCGGCGAGCGACATCGACAGCAGCGTTGGCGGGAGGGGGAGCGTGCGCCCGAGTTTCGGGCTTGGGCGAGAGGACCTCCCGAGCGAGAGCAGCGAGGAAGAGGACGACATCGGCGCCGATAAAGATGAT